AGTAGGGTGATTGTACCGCCGTGTAGAGGAGTGAACCAATCACAAGGTGAATATTAAATCAATCACCGGGAGAATACCAAATGGCAAGAGACAACCAATTTTCTCCCGAGGTTCACGTGCTTGCCAACATGCTACGTCCCTGTTGTGTCGACCAATACTTGGTGGTTCGGCGGCTAAGAGGTGTTGCACAAAACTCGTCCACATAATTTGGACACCGCAAGAACCTACCCACAAGTGAGGTAACCCAATGACACGAGCAATCCACTAGAGTTACCTTTTGGCGCTCCGCCGGGAAAGGTACAAATCCCCTCACAATCACTGGAAATGGCCATGAACAATCACCGACTCGTGCCAATCCTCCTCCGCTGCACCAAGCCGTCTAGGTGGTGGCAACCACCAAGAGCAACAAATGAATCCCGCAGCAAAACACGAACACCAAGTGCCTCTAGATGCAATCACTCAAACAATGCTCTTGGATTCTCTCCTAATTTCACAATGATGATGAAACAATGATGGAAATGAGTGGGAGGGCTTTGGCTAAGCTCACAAGGTTGCTATGTCAATGCAAATGGCCAAGAGAGTGAGCTTGAGTCGGCCATGGGGCTTAAATAGAAGCCCCCACGAAATAGAGCCATTGTACCCCTTCAGTGGGCACAACACGGGGTGACCAGACGCTCCGGTCAGTTTGACTGGACACAGGATCCCAGCGTTCGGTCGCCCGATGCTTGCCACGTGTCATTGGCTTCAAACGCCGATCGCCCGATCTCAATGGTCAAGTGATGATCGGACACGTCAGTTAGAAAGTGACCGGACGCAGGACCCCAGCGTTCGGTCGTTTCCAGTAAGGTTCCAAACGCGAAATTTCACGACCGGACGCGTCCGGTTATGCTTGACCGGACTCACCCGGCGTCCGGTCACTCAATGTTTCCTCTGTGCGCCTCACGTCAGCACTGACCGGACTCAGACCATGAGCGTCCGGTTAGTTTACACGCCAGCGTCCGGTCACAAAACCGAGACCGTGTGCTTACTGCTGTCACTGACCGGACTCTAAACCCAACGTCCGATCACTGCACCACCAGCGTCTGGTCACTCTGTGAACCCCTGTCTTTTCTGTATCGGGCGCCGGTGGCACCATCGGACTGTCTGTACTCTACGAGCGGACACTCCGCCGGTGAAGTTTCTAACCCTTGCTCAAATGTGCCAACCACCAAGTATATCACCTTGTGCACATGTGTTAGCATATTTTCACAAGCATTTTCAAGGGTGTTAGCACTCCACTAGATCCTAAATGCATATGCAATGAGTTAAAGCATCTAGTGGCACTTTGATAACCGCATTTCAATATGAGTTTCACCCCTCTTGATAGTACGGCTATCTAACCTAAATGTGATCACACTCGCTAAGTGTCTTGATCACCGAAACAAAATGGCTCCTACTATTTATACCTTTGCCTTGAGCCTTTTGTTTTTCTCTTTCTTCTTTTCAAGTTCAAGCATTTGATCATCACCATGCCATCACCATCGCCATGATGTTCGCCATTGCTTCATCACTTGGAGTAGTGCTACCTATCTCATAATCACTTTCATAAACTAGGTTAGCACTTAGGGTTTCATTAATTAACCAAAACCAAATTAGAGCTTTCACCTACCCCTGCTCCTCCCAGCCGGCTGTGGCCCCTATCCAGCCAGCCGTGGGCACATCACAGGCGGACATGGTGAGCTCCTAGCCTGCCGACAGCATCTCCCAGCCACAGGCCGTCGGCAGCAGGTTCCAGTAGGCCGGCCATGGCCTAGCACAAACGAAGCAGCCGTCCACGCTGTTGGGTCGAGATGGCGGACTAAAGGGGGGGGTGAATAGTCCTTTCTAAAATTAATCGCATCGGCTAACCGAAACAAGTGCAGAATTAAAACAATCGGTCTAGCCAAGACTACACCCCTCTATCTATGTTCTCTAGCACCTTGCAAAGATCCTAATTGAGCAACTAAGATGTCGGGCTAGCTAAAGCTCACCTATCCAATTCTAGGAGCAAGATCACACAAACCTATGCCACTAGTACTTTAAGCAACGAGAGAGCTCCTACACCTGCTAGTAAGTAAAAGCACAACGCTACCTAAGCTCATTAGCAATGCTCAATAACAAGGCTACATAAGCCAAATTATAGAGCGCAAATTACTTAGCTACACAAACTAAGTAATGTGACTAACAAGGTTACACAAACCAAATTAGCCATGCAAGGGAGCTACTTCTATGCTTCACAAGCAAGAAGGTAACTAGTGAGCTACACAACCTAACTAATTACAAGAGCAACTATACAAGCACAATGTATATGAAAGTAACTACAAGCTTGTGTAAGGGGATTGCAAACCAACGGGAATAACAATGTTGACACGGTGATTTTCTCCCGAGGTTTATGTGTTTGCCAACACGCTACGTCCCGTTGTGTCGACCGCTCACTTGGTGGTTCGGTGGCTAATTGGCATCACCCGCCAAGCCCGCACGTCGGGCACCGTAAGAACCTACCTCGAAAGTGAGGGTAGCTCAATGACACGCTCAACTAGAGTTGCTCTTCGTGTCTCCCACGGGGCAAGTACAATTCCCCTCACAAAGCTCTTCTCCGAAACACCGCATAAGCTTCTTGCGGGCTTCGACAAAGACCACCACCAAGCCGTCTAGGAGGTGGCAACCTCCAAGAGTAACCAGCACCACCGGCTTGCAAGACGACCATCTAGTGCCACTCGATGCAACCTCACGATGCAATCACACTAGAATCGCTCACTCACTCGATCGGATGAATACTATCAAGCTCAAGTGAGTTAGAGGGCTCCCAAGCATTACCACATAAGTCACCAAGGCTCTAGTGTGCTCAGCAACCAGCCCAAGACCGAGACCCCTTCTATTTATAGCCCCCACGAAAATAGAGCCGGTGTATCCCTTCACTGAGCACAGCTCGGGGTGACCGGACGCTCCGGTCAGATCAACCGGACGCACCCTGTCAGCGTCCGGTCAATGGATGGCTGCCACATCATCTCTGGTTTCAAATACTGAGCGCCCGATCTCAATGGTTAAGTTGCGATTGGACGCAACACAGTATATGATCGGACACAGGACCCAGCGTCCGGTCACTTCCAGTAAGGTTCCACTCGCGACCGAACACGTCAGTTTGAGCGTGACCCAACGTAGGACCCCAGCGTCTGGTCACTTCCAGTAAGGTTCCAGAGACGCTCAACAACGACCAGACGCGTTCGGTCGGTCACACAGCATCAGCGTCCGGTCCTTCTCCTCTTCTCTGCGTTACCACGTCAGCGGGACCGGACGCACCCACCTAGCGTCCGGTCACAAAGTGACCCAGCGTCCGGTCGAAGACCGACGCCTGCGCCTTCACTGTTGCCACTGACCGAACGTAGGACCCCAGCATTCGGCGGCGGCGGTGGGAACGACAGCCCAACAAAGCGACGGGAAACCCTAGCGGCGGCGGCGGCCGACACGAATCCATGGCGACGACGGCGGCGCAGCAAGTACACGGCATACCAGGTAGATAGGAGTACATACCTCGTCGCTACGTCCGCGACGGCGTCGATCGTGTACCCTGGAGGATCGGCCTGGGTGTTCGGTTAACCGATCGGTTTCGATTCGGTTCTTCGGTTTATGACACAAATTTGGTTCTCTACAAATAGGAACCGATCGGTTCTTCGCAAATCTTAGAACCGAGCAAAATCGGTTTCGGTTAGTTCGGTTCGGTTCCGGTTCCGACCGAACTAACCGAGGATTTACACAAGCAGCAAAAAAAAGAATAGAAAAAATAGGAAAAAGATTTTAAAAAAAGTACAATGCCAAGATTTTAAAAATTGTGAGGGTGTGAGGATGTGAGGGGGTGTCATCCACCTTTTATATCTAGGGTTAAGTTGGTATTAGGCCTAGGTTGTAAGGTTTATTGGACTTGTTTGTGAATTTTGGTTCCTTCGGTTATTTTGGTTAACCGAGCCTAGGAACCGAAATTTGATCAGTTAATTCGGTTCCTAAGAACTGAGAACCGAACAGCTAACCGAAATTTTCGGTTTCGGTTCTTTCGGTTTCGGTTTCGGTTCTGGTTCTTTCGGTTCGGTTCTCGGTTATTTTTGCCTAGCCTTGCTGGAGGACGGCGATCTTCTACCCGGCCTGGAACTTGCGATGGAGGATGGCGATCTTCTACCTAGCCCTGGAACTTGCGATGGAGGAAGAAGTGGCGATGGAAGAAGAAGTGGCGATGGATGAGCGCGGAAAGGAGACCGTCGTGGCAAAACTTCGCGCGGAAGAAGTGTTTTCGCGCGACGGAGGAGCCGTGCAAAGTTACGCAGAACCAGGTTAGATTTACCAAGTGCCTAAATATTAGGAGGAAAGATTATGAGTTGGTGAAGAGAGTTTTTTTCTCATCTCTCTGAAACCCAGGATTAGAAGAGATGCTCTAACGTAGTAAACTGCGCCAGCACCAAATTTCGCGAACCCCATGGCTCGTGGGAATGCGATGCGAGTGCCTTCCTCGCATCAGCCAAAGATGCTCAAGATTATGATTATGTTCATTTGATTCCAAAACCCATGAGATTACGAGAGATTGTTGAGGATTGAATCCCGTACGAGTCAAAATCCCTCTCAACCCCTTCCGATCCCTTTTAATCCCTTTCATTTTGAAAACAACCCAACAAGAGGGGAGGCGTCGGTGGGAGATGGCGCACCCTGTGCTGCAGCTGCAGGCTACCGCAGCGCTGACGCTGAATAACAGGATCGCTCCGGCGAGCGGCGAGCGGCGAGCGGCGTCCATAGAGCAGGGCGCGGTGCGCTCCGGCGGGACTGACTGGCGGCGGAGGCGGAGGGTGGGGAAAAACCCTGGCGCGCTTATCCCGCGAGGGCGCGCTGCGGCTAGTGGGACGCGACGCGCGCGCAGTCAGGTATTGGGGGAGCCGCCTGTGCGATCCATTCGCCCACCACCAGTTCGTCCAAAAGCCCCCAACGTCGCCTCCCGCGCCATGCCGCCGCGCGCGGTGCTCCGCCGCCTTCTCCCCACCCACCTCCACCGCCCCGCCGCTCGCCACGCTCCGCGTCAGGCGCGTCCTCCGCCTTCAGCGACCGACGAGGGACCCCTTCCCGACCCGTATGCGCTCCTCGTCCACGACCCCATCGACCTGCTCTCCTCCCTGTGGCGCCGCGCGTTCGCGCACCCGCTCCCCTCCCCGTTCCCCAACCTCTCCGGCTACGCCTCCCGCCTCGACCTTTGGCTCCTCTCCTACCAGCGTGCCTGCGCCCATGCCACGGGCACCTTCCCGCCACGCCACGCCGTCCCGCTCCCCACTCTTCACTCCCTCCTCCGCCTCCGCGCCGCCGCGCTCCGCCGCCACCCCGCCTTCCCCTGGGGCGCCTCCACGCACCTCCTCCTCCGTTCCCCCGTCGACAAGCCCTCCACCGTCCCGATCTCCCGCCGCAAGCTCGAGGCCCGGTTCTCGGATGCGCCGCCGCCGTTCCAGGACCGCGTCGTCCAGGAGCTCCTCCTTCTCCTCCTTGAACCAGTCTTCGAGCCGCGCTTCTCCCCTAAATCTCATGCCTTCCGCCCCGGCCGCGGGCCCCACAGCGCCATCCGCTCTGTTCGGTCTCGCTTTGCCGCCTACCTCTGGTTCGTCTCCGCCGACCTCACGGCGGTGGTCGACGGGCTCTCGCCGGACACCATCCTGTCATGCGTCCAGAAGGCCGTCTCCGACCGTAAGGTGCTGTCATTACTCAAGTCCGCGCTCAGCGCCCCTGTCCGACCTGGGTCTGTGCCGCCAATGGAGAAGGACCTCGATGGGCTGACCAAGAAGAGGCTGAAAAGGAAGGTGCTCAGGAAGAGCAGGAAGAAGAAGGTGCTTAACGAGAATGAGCCGAAGCCTGACCCATATTGGTTGAGGATGTTCTTTGGGTTTGCTCCAGAACAGGCATGTCATGTGCCGAATTATGGACATTGTGGGATAATCAGTCCTTTGCTTGCCAATGTGTGCCTTAACGAGTTGGATTGGTGGATGGAGGAGAAAATTAACCAGTACTTTTGCCCATCCAAGCATGATTCAATTTGGAAGGAGGTGGGTGATGATGGGTGCCACAATCCGGCTTGGCCTGAGTTCGTCCCATCAGCTGGGAAGGAGAAGACAAGGAAGATGGATTTCCTTCGATTTGGTTCCCATGTCTTGATTGGGATCAGAGGGCCGAGGGAGGATGCAGTTGAGATAAGGAGACAACTGATGGAATTTTGTGAGAGAACATTTGGTTTAAGGCCAGAGAATTCGATGGTGGAAATTGAGCATATCACAAGAGGGATTGAATTCTTGGATCATGTGATCACGCGCAGGGTCATCTACCCAACCTTGCGATATACTGCCAGTGGAGGGAACATTGTCAGCGAGAAGGGTGTCGGAACATTGTTGTCTGTAACAGCGAGCCTGCAAAGGTGCATAAGACATTTCAGGAAGCTTGAGCTTGTAAAGGGGGACAGGGATCCTGAGCCATTGCCATGCTCACCGATGCTGTACTCTGGGCAGGCACACACTAATTCCCAGATGAACAAGTTTCTTGAGACAATGGCTGATTGGTACAGGTATGCAGATAACCGGAAGAAGATTGTAGGGTTCTGTGCTTATGTCATAAGGAGCTCACTAGCAAAGCTCTACGCGGCAAGGTATAGACTGAAGTCTCGAGCTAAGGTCTACAAGATTGCTTCACGGGATCTTAGCCGTCCTTTGAGAGAAAACACAAGGAATGATGCGCCAGAATACTCTGATCTTTTGAGGATGGGACTAGTTGATTTTATTGAAGGTGTACAATTTGCACGCATGTCATCGATTCCATCGTGTGACTACACACCTTTCCCTAGGAACTGGGTGCCACACCATGAACTTATATTGCAAGAGTATATTAAGCTGCAAGATCCAAAGTTCTTTCTTGAACTTCACAAGACTATCAAGCGTCAGGAAATAAGTTCACCACAGGATGACATATCAAAGATGGTGTGGTATTATAAAGTTCATGGTGTTTATGATGACAAAAGATCCTTAGTTGGCACCAAGGAATTGAGAAATGGTGAAGTTATCAATGGGAACAAGCAACTTCTATTGGATACATAGTTCTGAGTCCTATGTTCCTGATTGTTTATAGAACTATTGATATGTGATATTTCAATTGTGCATCAAGCTGATGTTTCTCCTGTGATTCACGGGTATCCATGAACTATTGACTGATGACCCAGTTCTCATTATTTTTAGAGAATAATCACGGGTATCCATGAACAACATACCATCTATTCTGGCACTCAGGAGCCAGGACTACTCAACTTTTAATGTTTACAGAAGCATTTCGCCTATTATCAAGGTAAACTCTTCTGTTCTCATAATTCAGTGTGCCATGCCAACTTTTTAAGTGTTCTGCTCCTAACAGTGGAGCATTGCTGTTTCCCAGTTGTTAGCAGAACTAGAATACAGAAATACAGGCAATATTGAAGTGCTGCCTTGTGAAGCTTCCCAGATGCCACATATTTAGCATTATGCCAATTTCCACATGTTTAGCTTTGTTAAACGAACATTGCATTTTACTTTGCATGCTTACACCATCAATGTGTCCTTTTTCTTCTCTTGTACTCCAAATTGTTGAAAACTTTGAGGTACTGAAGTAGTAGTAGTAAATTCCAAGCTTCTACATTCATTATCAGTTCAAATATTAGATGTAGGGGTGTACCACACTGCAATGTGTGTACTGGTATAAACTAGAGGTTGAATTTTCCTTCCTAATTTCTCTGCTTAAATAATCATTAGTTTTCCTAAGTCTGTGAAAACTCTAAGAACTCAGTAGTGCTTAATCTCTTTAATATCTTACCTTCTTTGGACCTTGAAGCTTCTAAACTAAATCTTTTTTGAGGCCCATCCTTGTTGATGACAAGCTCATGCTATCAAAAACTAAGTTATAATCAATCGAGTGTTTAACAAAGCAGAGCTTAACCTGATTTCTGCATTCATTAGGATCTCAAACGAAAGACTACGAAATGAAATGTGGAATATTCTTGTTGGAATTATCAGAGATTTGACCTTTTCCAGCATGGCTAGCAGTTTTTTTTCAGAAAGTTTTGGGAGTTCAGTTTCTGTCTTTTCTCCTACTTTGATTACCTGCATTGATTCAATTGAATCCTGGCCCCAGGCGTCCAAAATCGGACGCCTGGGAAGCCTGCCTCGGCCAGGCATCTTTTTGAAGCTATGAAACATAATTACTCTCCAGAAAACTAACTTATTCATGGTCGCTGTTTGGAAATATCGCTGTTGAGTTGGCTAGTACATTCAAGGGCAACTATTATTATAAAAGAACTCTATCCTTGGGAGAGACGTCCCATGGGCATTGGCCTGAGAGTCGAAAAAAGGTCTAACACCGGTCTGATGGATAAGTCTCATGTGTGGTCTTTGTGGGGCTGTACTGCTCACATGGTCCTTGTGGCTGTTTTTCTGCTTTTAGGACAGCATCTTAGACTAGATGACAGCAGGACAGCATCTTAGAGGACATCATCTTAGACTAGAGGACAGCTCTTAGCTAGGACAGCATATTAGTATCTTAGACTAGCATCTTGGCATATGCTTGGCTGGCTAGCAGCCTATAAATATGTAACCCCAACCCCTCAGGTTGGCATGGCATTTGTGTGAGTTTGTGTGAGAAATAGACAAGAAAATTGCCCCAACTCCTAGTGTCATCCTCTCTCTCGATGAGAGTAAGAATTCTTCTACTACCAAGAGTGAGAATTGCTGACTAACAAGCTGAGTATCGAGACGTATTATCCTGTAGCTTTGAGCATCTCTGCTCATCTCCTCCCAGCCACTATTAACAAATTTCAGTGGCGGCAAAGCAGCCGCCGCCGCCTGCTCACTCCCGCCAGCAGACGAAAGCAACTCGTCTGCAGCCTCTCTCCACGCAGCAGCCTCCCAGTAGCGCGTCATGTCCCATGAGGCGATCTCGGCCTTCGGTCGCCTCGAAACACGCTGTGGCGTCGGCAGGAGGCCGAACTTACACGGCAGAGGAACGGCGAGCGAAGCGGCAGAGAGAGACGCGCGCGGCGGCAAGCGCGCCGAGGTGGCGGTGGGAGGCGGCAGCAGCCAGAGCGAAGCGAAGCGGCTGGCGGCGGCGCGAACGGCGGCGCGGCGGCGGCGGTGGAGGTCGAGGGTTCTGGCGGCAAAGATCGGCAGCTCCATTTCCGGCGACGACACCGCCGACGCGGACCTCGAGCTGCTAGAGAGGGAGGCGGCCAAAGCACAAGGGCGATGATGGGCAGCCGCGACGCCACAGCGTGGCGGCAGCCCAGACAGCCTTGACGCGCTGGCGGCGCGCTCTGGAGGAGGCGCGCCGCAGCGGTGGCGCTCTGGGCGACGCGCGACACGCCCGAAGCGCTGGCGCCAGACGGGTAGCGGACACGCCGGTGGCGCTCTGGAGGAGGCGCGACGGCGGCGGCGCTCTCGGAGGAGGCGCGATGGCAGCGGTGGCGGACGGGTCGATGGAGAGCGCGGCCTTCACAGACAGCGTGGCTCTCTCTCCCCGGATCGGTACCGACGGGTCGATGGAGAGCGTGGCCTTCACAGCAGCGGCGTGGCTCTCTCCCAGATCGGTACCGTGGTTACCACGGGCTCCAGTCGTTGTCGGGGACGTCGGTCCCGGCGGTGGGTGGCCTACCTCACCAAGACCAACTACGTCGAGTGGGTCTGCGGTGATGAGGTAAAGCTCCAGTGCGGCACATGTGGGAGGCGGTCCGCAGACGGCGGCGTCGACCACGACCTAGATCGACGGGCGCTGGATGCTCTCATCGCCGCGATCCCGCCCGAGATGCGATTCTCGCTTACCAAAGAAGCGGATCGCCAAGGAGGCTTTGGGACGCCATCGGCTTGCAAGACGACGGCGGCGGCCGACCGCGCCGCAAGTCAACACACACGCACGCCGCAAGGGGTGGGAGAACACGCCTTCAAGCCGGTGAGGACGTTGATGACTTTGCTCTCCGTCTCAACACTATTGCGAAGATGGTGCGATTCGGCGGCGACACCTCTGGCGGGAGAGAGAGAGAGTCGAAAAGCTCTTCCGCTGCGTCCCGAGAAGTACAAGCAGATGGCTCGCTCGATCGAGTCTCTGCTGGATCTCTCCACGATGTCGATCGAGGAGGCGATAGGTCGCCTCAAGGTCGCCGGCGGCCGATGAGCCCCTGAGCCCCTCTCGGGGCCCATCACCATTGGCGGGAAGCTCCTTCTCACTCGGGAGTAGTGGCTTGCCGACCAAGGTGACCGGAGGAAAGGAGCCTTCTTCCGCGACAAAGTGCCATAAGCGTGGCAAGCCAGCGCGCAAAGCGCTGAGAGACGCTTGGCCGGGCGCGAGGACGCGCGCCGAGGTGATGCCAGTGGGGGCGCCGGCGAGCACAAGCCGCACGACGAGGCGACACCGCCGCGAAGCTGCGGCCGGCTTGGCCATTGGGCCAAGGGATCGGCGACACCACGACACGCCAGCCCAGGCCCACGTCGCCGCAGCGAGGAGGAGGAGCCGGCTCTGTTCATGGCATATGCCAAGATCGAGCTACCTCCCGGTGACTTGCCGCACGCGGCGGCTCTCCTCCACCTTGACGAGCAAAAGCACACGCCCTCCTCGAACGGCGGCGCAACGCAGCGACAAGATCGACGGTGGTGCTCGACACCGCGCGCCACCCATCACATGACCGGTCGACGGAGTTCTTCACCGAGCTTGACTCTAGCGTCCCGAGGCTCCGTCAAGTTTGGGGATGCCTCCGGCGTGGAGATCAAGGCGTCGGCTCCGTCATCTTCACCATCGTGTCCGGTGAGCACGCATCGCTCACCGGAGTCTACTACATCCCGCGTTGAGGAACTCCATCATCGGCTTGGGGACAATTTGGATGAGAACGGTTCAGCGTGGTGGTTGAGGACGGAGTCATGAGGATTTGGGATCGTCGTCGCCGCCTTCTTGCCAAGGTATCGAAGCGTAAATCGACTCTCGTCCTTAACGTGCGGTGGCACAACCCCTCTGTCTCGCCGCTCGTCGGGACGACGAGGCGTGGCGGGCACAGCGCGTTCGGGCACCTTCACTTTGAGGCCCTGAAGCGGCTCGATTGCACGCGGAGATGGTGCGAGGGCCCGCCGTGCCTCGACCATGTGGAGCAGCTCTGCGGCGTCTGCGTGTTGACGGCGAAGCGAGGCGACTCCCTTTCCACAATGCCGGGCTAGCTTTCGAGCCAAGGAGAGGCTCGAGCTTGTGCACGGGACTTGTGTGGCCCGGTGACACCGCCACACGGGAGGACGACGCTATTTCGCCGCCGCTCGTCGACGACCTCTCCCGCTACATGTGGGTGATGGTCCTCAGCGACAAAGGGGAGAGGTCTGACGCCATCATCGGTATGTGCAGTCGCTGCGAGGCGGAGTCTGCGGCCGCAGAAGTCGCTGCAGCGTCGCGCAGACCGACAACGGCGGCGAATTCACGGGCGGCTGAATTCGCGTCGTCATCTGCTTGACGAGGGCATTCAGCGCCACTACTCCGCGCTACCTGACCCGCGTGAGAACGGCGTCGTCGAGCGCAGCAAACCAGACGGTTGTGGGGATGGCTCGGGCCCTCCTCAGCGAGAGGGGATGCCGGTGTGTCTTCGGGGAGAGGCGGTGGTGACGGCCGTCTACATCCTCAACCGCTTTCGCCTACCAAAGGCGCTCGGCGGCGGGGCGCCGACGAGGCTTGGCATGGGCGCAAGCCGGCGGTCTCCCACTGTGGGTCTTGGTTGCCTCGCGTTCGCCAAGGAGCTTGGCCACATCAAAGAAGCTCGCGGCAGGTGAGCACTCCGGGAGTGTTCGCCGGCTACGCGGAGGGCTCGAAGGCCTACCGCATCCTCGACCAAGACGGCGGCGTGTGCGCCTGGCGCGCGACGTTGTGTTCGACGAAAGCGGCGAGGATGGGTGTGGGAGACAAGCGGTGGGCGATGGCTCGGCTCCGACGTCACGGCGACTTCTTTGTCGAGTCACGCCCACTTCGAGGGAGGCCGGGGAAGGCCTCTTCTTCTTGGCGGCGCGCGTCTACCCCGGTCCCCGAGCCTCCACCGACTTCGGCGCTGCTACAT